AATTTATTACATTTATTAACAACAACTTAAGAAATGCCCAAAATGTGACAAATCAAGTTTTTCAACTTCATACTGCATTATTAACAATAGGAAATAAAATTTATAGATGGAGAACACTTTAAGGAAACATTTTTAGAGATGTCTTACGATTTTTTTGGTTTGTTGAACAATAATACAAGATATTTGGGAATGTTTAATTAACTGTTTCAATAAATATAACAACATATTCATAAACTACACTTTTCTATCTTCAAATTTCAAAATGAGAATAATGAAGTTTGAAAAACGCCAACAAATACATTCGCTGGGTAAATCAACAAGACATTAAAAACCTACGTGGTGGAAAAAGACGAAAAAAAAAATACAGCTGAATATCATGTGAGTTATGTTGAAGAAAGTCCGAAAATAACTTTAAATGAATTAAAACTCAAATTCCTAGGATATCATCAAAACGTTGCTTGTAAGGAATGTTTGCGGAAATTAAATGGGATGATGATTTCCATTAAAAGATATTGGCAATCAGCTGAAAAGAGCAAACACTGAAGATAATAAATCAAAAAGACCATAATATCAAGTCGAAAGTTTTGTGCCAGCTGTAGAGGAGTAAACATTCATGTTATCGGATGTATAAGAAATATGGGTTTGATTTATCATTAAATTACAATACATTGTTTTATTACTTTCCATTATCATTCATCCGTGGATACTGAAAATTCGAAATTTACCAAGTTTCTGGTTAAGACTGAAGAAATTGCAACATAGAGTCAATTAAGACTTTAACGTTGCCGATTCCGCTTAATGTGATGCATCTAAACAGTTTAGACAGTATTATTAGAAAGATTTATTTCCTTACGCAAAGCCAAAAAGTTACACCAAACACTTTATGCAACTTATAGTATGTTTTTGGTGAGCAAAATCTACATTCTCATGAAATGGTCGTTTGTAATAAAGATAAAAGAGGCTTAAACTAAGTAGGTACGATGTTTATTTAGTATATTAAATAAAATTGAAGATGGAAGAACTTTGAACTCATTGATAGTAATTTAGGGATAGAAAGAGTTATTAAAAAAATCTCGTTTGTTTATTTTCTTCGGAATATGATCATATCTTGGCCAAAATTTGCATCAAGTGTTAATATGTTACAATTAAAATTGTTTTTCCCATTTTAATTTCACCAAAGTTTTCTTTAAAGATTTATAGTTGGGTATTGTTGGATTCTTTTGAATGATAAAATCAATTTATTTCTTGGTGGTTCCATGCAAATTTTATGGTACATAAATGTAATTATAAGCAAATTGAATGTATCAATTCTTCAAAGTTGCATCAATTAGATTTAAAAGTAAGCAAAGATTCTGTTTTGAAAAAAATACAAATTTTGGTATAAGAATATAAAATGTCTTAATAACAGTTATTATAAGAATGAATAGTTTTGAAACAAAATAGAAGATGTCGCGATGTTTCTAAAGTACCACAATGCATACATCAATAATAACGAGAGGTACAAACATCGATTTTTCACTCAATGAATGTCTTCAAGCAATAAGTCAAGTTTGTAATTAGTAAGTAACAATAAGTTTATTGCAGCAATGATAGCTGGGGATATGGGTTTGATTTATCATGAAATTAGAATATATTGTTTTAATACTTCCCATTAATATTCAATCGTGGATACCGAAGATTCGAAATTTACAAAATTTCTGGTTAGGACAAACTTGTTAACGACTAACTACGTGTTTATTGCAATATTTTAATTGATGGTATACACGCAGACTGTACGTGAAGGATACCTTAACGCTCTTAACTGTTATCTGTTATAGCTTTTGGTTTATTGATTGAAGTCTTGATCCTTAGTCTTTTTGATGATTTCGAAACATAATACTTCAATCATACAGAGATAATCCGAAGCTGTCCAGATATATTTCAATTAGAAATGCAACTGGTTAAACCTGAAATGGAACGCAGATTACAGAATCTTCGCATCACACGGTAGTGAAGTAAGTTAGGGCGTGTTGCAAATAAAAGAAGACTATAATACTGGCGAAGAAGAAAAATTTGAAGTCAGAAAAGCATGCAGAAAGTGCCCTGCGAGTAAAATAAGAAAGACATCCCATTTTGTATTACATGTAAGATTCCCATTTGTATGGAAAGTATAAACATGTCAAAAAGAACCGGTTGCAGTTTTTTTAATATGATAATATTTTTCTGGGCCGGTCATAACAATAAATAATTTTGAAACAAAATAGAAGACGTTGCAATATTTCAAAAGTACTTTAGATGAATCATCCAAATGACGCAGAAAACTTAAAGGGCTGCGACAAGAAGAGTTGAAGAGTATGAACGGGACAGAAAAAATACCTAAGTGTTTTTAAAATATTAAGATCCAAGAAAATGCGCCATCAAAAAAGAAAAATTATTGTTTTTGTTGATAACTGCTCAGCTCACAAGGACATTGATAAATTAAACAGCCTGTAAATGGTAAATGGAAGCTGTTAATGGTATATTTTCTATTGACCATATCTACCCATATCTACCATTGACAGCTTCAACATAACCTAAAATATAATAAAAGGTAATTTATGATAGCACATATTTAAGAATTAACATTTACATTTTTAATAGTGAATTACTTTAACAAAATATCACATAGCATGTTTAGACTTTCAAAAACTGAATTGACAAACTCCTGAGGATGCTCCAAAAGGATCGAAACCGGTAGAGTAGTAATACACATTTCACCTTTAAGTGCAAAATTTGTTTAATTGAATTACCCAGCTAACAAAACCTACAAAAAAACCTACCCCACAAAAGAAAATAAAAGTGAATATTGATTTATTAATTGGCAATAATTGTTTCAAAAAAGATGGATTTCAAAAAAACCGGTTAGATGAAAAAATGGATGTTGCTGAATTTCATGAAGATCAAGAATAACCACCGATAGAATGCGAACATTGGCTGACTATTACTGAAAGATGCGAAGATCAGATTACTGCATGGGATTTCATAAACGTGGATACTGGTTTAAGTATTTGAGGATATCAAAATGATGACTAAAAACTTGAATCAAGATGAACAAGACGTTGAAGAACCAGAAGTACAAAATCCTGTAATAACCAGAGCGAAACCACGAAAAGCTATGAATGTTTTACAATCTTTTTTTGAAGGCCGATTAGAAACAAATTCATCACCATGTTTTTAATTTATTAAAATTTTATTTATTTTTAATTCCATAAAAAACCTCTGTATGTGGAATTAAGATTTTTATAACCGCGATTTTGGATTACTGGGACACATCTATAAGTGGGTTTTCAAAGTTGTTCCCCAGAGATCCCACTTATCCATGTCGGACTGTATAATAAGTTTGTAATTAGTAAGTAAGAATAAGTTTGTTGCAGCAGTTATAACGGAATTAATTTAATTAAATTTAGACGTTGTGTATAGTGAATATTAGAAGTGAAGTTGAGTTGGTTGGAGCTGACCACTTCTTAGACAAAGATGATCAACACAAAAAATCTCTCTAATTTGGATGAAAATATCTCAATCACCAACGCATTATTCTTTACTATGAGAAGCTCCATGTAGTAGAAAAAATCAATTAGATTTGATTTCTAAAGGAACAAATTTCCGTTTTTGACGGAGTTGTAGTCGATTTAAGATTAAAAGCACCATATCAAGGATTCAAAATATGATTTGATAATTTTTTAATCAATTTTTCCTCATTTGGAGCCATCCAACTCATTGATAACCTTGTTCAATAAAAATAAAATAGTGATTGTATGCATTCACTTAGTCATTGGAGCTGTATTTTTTTAAAGAATTTTTCTAACTTTGGAACAATATACAGTGTCCGCCAAAAAGTCAGCAACACCCGTTTTATTTCTGTTTCATTGCATCAACGTTTCTGAAATTTAGCTTATATGGATTGTATGGATGGTTCATACCGATCTTTTGATCTAAAGTATTTTCAAGATGGTGGCCACTTCCGGTTCCCCGGTAGTAGACCTCAACTTCGTTATTTTAAATGGAATGCTATAGTTTTTATTGCACCTTTTAATTGTATGCGTAAAAACATGTTGACTTTGATAAAAGTTATTGGTACCTAGCATTTTTCGTTTTCGAGTTATTTTGATTTTAAGTTTTTGTTTGGTAAATTTTGGGAAAAAAATCAAAATAACTCGAAAACGAAAAGCGCTAGGTACCAATAACTTTTATCAAAGTCAACTTATTTTTTCGCATGTAATTAAAAGGTGCAATAAAAACTATAGCATTCCATTTAAAATAACGAAGTTGTGGTCTACTTCCGGGAGGGCGGAAGTGGCCACCATCTTGAAAATACTTTAGATCGAAAGGTCGGTATGAACCTCCCACATAAACTAAATTTCAGAAATATAGATGCAATGGAACAGAAATAAAACGGGTGTTTCTGACTTTTTGGCGGACACTGTATACTTTTATAACATAATATTTATTAAGAAAAGATTTATTGTTTACCTGCAGGGAATTTAGTTGCTATATATGTATAAACTTTTGTGCTTAACTTTTAATCTTAGTCTAAAAATTCCATTTTTAAACAATTTTCTGCAATATTAATCCTTTTTGCAATTTTCTTCCTTTGGCAGACTAAAATTAAATCACCTCTAAATAAGAGTATTCAAACATTATTATTTTTTAGATAGATTCACCTCAAATTTCCTTCATTTTTAAAAGACTTCATAAGAAGACTTTAACCAAAAACTAAAATCATGGCACTGTTTTTTTTTTAATTGATCATCCTATTATACCATTTCAAAACGGAAATATACGTAATTATACATTTTCCCGTTTTAATCGTACACACTCTTATTTATTTTAATATTCTTGCATTATAAAAAATTAGGATGGGTTTATATTTTTATTATTATTTTTTTTTACTTATTATTTCATTATTTCACGACACCATTTCTTTTTTTTTCTTTTTTGAAAATTTTCCAGTCCCGTAATAATATTAATTATTATTAATAATTATTATTACCTTAATTTTTTTTAACTCAATTTCTTTAAATAATAATAACCATTATTATTATTAAATAATCACACCGATAGGCCGCGTACACACCGAGAGAGACACACTCACAACAAAAAGAAAAACGAATTATTCGTTTCATCGTAACGCGAATATAATCGCGAGCATTGCGATAAACACAACGGTGCTCGCATGACAACTATGAGCACTCAAAGTGAGTTCTTCACTTTTTAAGACATCATTCGGATGTTTATCGTAAGTTTTAAATTTCTTCGTGGTACTCATCGTCGAAGTTGAAGATGTGGATGTCGTCGTCGTTGAAACGGTCGTTGAGATCGTGGATGGTGTTCTCAGCATAGGTGGTATTGAAGACCAGACTGGTCTTGTAATTGTCACGGATGGTTGTTGTTGTTGTTTTATTGTTGTATCGTAAGCGGCGGGCGCCCAAACTTTAAACACCATTTTCATGTTGTGGGTTGAACAACGCCCCCCGATTCTTCGATGAAGATCGTCGGAAGTCGACGTTGATATAAAATAATAATCATGGCCAGGTAAAAATTCTAAACCACCAGGTTGCGGTGTAAAAGGCCTAAAAGTAATCGTAAAATACATTAGTTTATACGGCTTATCGCAAACTGCTATTATCCGAGGATTAGGATTCGTTATCCGACACGTTTCGTATTCATCTTTCGAAACGTTATAAATAATATATTTTTCCATATCGTCTTCGTTTTTTGTGTGTGGTGTGTAAACGGGACAAATTAAGTTGACTTGATCGAATTCGAATTTCGAGTTGTCTCGATTTACGTCGATCACGTTATCGGTGTTATCTATTCTGAAAATTGGGTTAGACGAGTTCCAATGAATCGTGTAAAATTTTGCGTTGCTCGGTTGAGTAGCGTCTACGATTCCATCTAATAATAATAATATTAGAAGGGTTGTTAATGCCATTCTACTCATTCTGTTGCACGTTTGCCAATTCATCGTTGATGTTTTCATTATCATCATTGCACTTCCCGTGGTGATGTTTCGAACTGAAGTTCGTGTAGAGTCGTCGAACGTATTCACATTGCCCGTTGATCCATTTCGGATTCAATCATAATCTGAAAAGTTTCTTTAATTAATGACGTGATTAATAACATTTTTTAAGCTTAAAGTAATCAAAAATGTTTTTAAAAAGTAAATTAAGGCACGGTATATTCATCTATCAGTAAACTATTAGGAGTAAGTAAGTACTTTTCAGTTATATTTACTGGTAAGATTAATTCGGGTATATTCACGCTATTCATTCTTAAATGAACTTACTTTTGAGAACCAAACGTTTTCAACACAAATGTATATGGTAAATTATTTCAGTAAAGAGTTGTTTTAATTGTTTTGTTCTTGTTTTCAACAAAATGAAGGAGATAAAGAAAAACGAGAGATCCTCAAATTTTACAGCAGTAGAAATATTAAACCTTGTTAAAGGACTAAGGACACTCTTATTAACACTTTGGGAAATTTTCATACTCATATTCCAAAGAATTGACTTTATACGAATTTTTAAAACTTAATCGGCGAGAATTGCAAAATTCGAAGAAATTGTCGATTATTTCAAAAATTTATTTCTCAAGAACTACAACTGATTTTTTAAAACGGTTTTTTGCATTAAAAAGAGGATACTTTAATTAATAATGGGTGATATTTCCACAAGGATCCTTCAAGTAATTAATTTTATAGCGAATTTTGAAAATTATTGATGAAAATTGCAACATCGAAAATTTTATTAAAACTTCAAATATTGTTTTCTCAAAAACTAAAAGTTATTTTTTAAAACGTGTTAGTTCATTGGAAAGAGGGCACTCTTATTAACACTTTGGGAAATTTTCATACTCATATTCCAAGAAATTGATTTTATACGAATATAACTAATATATTCTTAACGAATTAACTACCGGGTATCCGACCGGATTTTTAAAATGGCCGGATACCGGATATCCGTCCCACCACTACTTGTAGACCTCATTGTGAAATATTCAAAAACGATTGAAAACAAAAAAAAATTGATGCTGTCATTGAAAATGAAATTGGCTGACGAATGCAATGCCATAAATTTGACCAATCGAACAATCAAGACCCTCAAAATTAAGTATGAAGGAATCAAAGAAACATTAAAAAAGAAAAAAATCTGATAATCGGTTAGAACTTTATAAAACTGGTGGTAATGCTAAAAATATTACATTTATGGATTATGAAGAAAAATTATTAAGGGCCGGTTGTACAATATATCCTGCTGCCGGAGTGTTTATATATATTTATATATATATAAACACCCCGGCAGCGTTATCTGGGAGATAAGTTAGTTTGTACTGTATTACAATGTACGAATATTTTTGTTGGCGAGATTATCGGCAGGATAACTTATCGGGTACTCAGCGGTGCCAAGGATTTTGTATAAAAACTTCCTATACGTACGTTGTCAGCTGTGTGTCGTGAAATAGTATATTAAAAAACAAGTTTCGACACGTTTGAAATACACAAATTCAAGTGGAAAAACGAGTGGCGAAGGCATAAGTAAATTTTGACAATGTAGGGAAATAGGTATGTAGCAGTTGGTAACACCGTAACACTTGAAAATAGAAATTTGACTTGACAATTAGAAATTGTCAAAACACAAAATGTATTCACCTGAAAAAAATTTTTCATGTACACCTCCCAAAATAAGAGAAATTGCTCAATGTCCTCATCATTGTGGACCTTGTATTCGATGCTAAGAACGTGTTTAAACATCCATAGACAAAAATTGTCACATTGACAAGTAGAAAAATTAATGACCCAATGTCACCAACTTGAACTGGTTCCATAAAATATTACTAAAGTCTCATTACGGCACCCGTTTGAGTAATGTAATAGCTTTCATTACCGTCGCGAATTACAAAAAAAAAATTTTAAACTTATTATTGCCAAAATCATAGTTCAAATTTCAAAGAAAGACATTAGCGCTACCAATCTATGGCACAAATTACTAGAAATGGGGAAAAATACTATCAACCGACTCTTATTTCGCTTATAGCAATGATACCGACAGCGAAACAGTTTCTACAACATCGAATATCTTTATCCTTTCGATAAGTTTATCAGCCGGATAGTTATTAGATATTGTACAACCGGCCGTAAATGTATTAACGCACATTGAGTTCATTTTTTTTCTATAATACCTGTCAAATTGTTGTAAAGTTGGCAAAATTAACAGGGAGTTTTGTTTTATCATGTTTTGAAATAAATGTCACACTGACATTTGAGCTTTCATTATTCAAAAAGTCAAAAGTAATAAAATTAAAATAAAATGAACGCAAGAAAAAGAAACGCAACTTATTGGGGGTCGAACTAAAACGAATTTGCCATTTGTTTACCTAGAAAATATGTTTTGTTCTATTTCATTAGTTTGCAGCACGTTTTTACAATAAATATGTCCTTCGTTATTTATCTAAAGATGTATTAGTATTTTAACCTCAATTATCTAGTTACTGAAAATGTTACTAAAAATCAGGAAAACAACATAAATTTTATAAGGGTCGTATATAATACCAACAGAAACCCTAAAAAATTTACCTTGACAAGTATTATAGAAAAAAAAAAATGAATTTTTCCTATTCAAACGAACTTTAAAATGGTATATAAAAGTGTTTTAGTTTTTTTGGTCCCTGCTGGTGAAATTCAACAGCACTTTAGTCCTGCAATTTTGCAAGTAGTAATCCCAAGTGAAGGGGAAATTATCATTCTTGGCCAAAATGCTCCACATAGCCCAGATAACTTTTTAAACTTCTATGCAATGTTTCGCCTCAACCTTTCACAATTTTAGTGAATGTGTTATAGAAGAGCTACCTTTCCCATCAACTTATACAAAAGAAAAATTGGAAACAAATTACGGACAAATTGTTGAAGGTAAGCTGAATCTTATTTTGATATATCTAGGCACGTAAAAACGTACTCTACAGAGGAAAAAGAAAATGTACCTTGGACACCATCATCACACTCCACCACCACACCAACTACACTCACAGGTACTAAACGAAAAAGGTAAGATAAGCAATGAAACTGTTGCAAAAAAATTTTCCTCTGTGGCTGATTCCAGACAAAAATTGGTGCAGATCCAAATGCAAAATTAGAGAAAGAAATTAAAGAAAAAGAGTTGCAACTAATTCAAAATCAAATTGTGAATGAATAAGAGGCCCACCAATTGGATATGAAAATTAAACATTTGCAATATAAAAAATTGTTGGAAACAGAGCTTAGATTAGTTAAATGGGTTCGCTTTCAGTTTTTATTTGCTGAAGGACTTGCATTAACTTGCAAATCCTTTAACGTGTGTACCAGGTTTTTTATTATTTTATGTTATTATTATTAATAAATAATCCTTTTTTATATCACTCATTTTAATATTCAAATCACAAAACATTCTATATTGGTATAATTAAAAATTGAAAAAATAGAAATGAATAGTTATTTATTGTGTAAGTGTTTTAGGCAGCATTTTATTCAAACAAGAATGTTTAAACGCGAGAACGAACCTCGAGCGTTTAATTTTCTTAAGTGAATAAAATGCATCTAAAACACGCATGCAATACAACGTTTTATCCACAATTACACTCATTTAGAATCAGAATCGCCAAAATTTGATGTGATGTTATCAAAAAATGATTTGACATTTCACTCTGACAGCGGCTGTCACCTCAAAAATCATTACAATTAACTAAAACAACATTAGGATGTGTTGAATTGTTGCTATTTATTTTCGATTGTTTATCGACTCCAGTTGTAACATATTTGTAAAAGTGTAAAGGTTGTAAAGGTAAAGTTGGTGAAAAATGGAAGAAAGTGATATGACGAATAATAAATAGAATTTGATTGATTTAAGATTGTATTTTTCATTGTTCCATTAGTTGAATAAAGTAACTTTATTCCACTAGTGGATAAAGTGGTACTTTATACGGTTCATAAGTGTGGATAAAACTTCAATTATAAGGTGATTGTGGATAAAGTACTTTATTACAAAATAGATGATAAAATAGTGAACTATAAATTTTTAAAATATTCTAGAAATGGTCTATGAGAATTATTCTCTACATTTTCCTTAACCGCTTGCCTTACTAGCCCAGATTATGAATCTAGTGAAGAAAAATTTGTGTCAGAAGATGAGATAGCGGATATGGAAAGCGACGACGATGAATACGAAAATTTTTTGTTAGAAACCAGAAAGTGGTGCGAAATTGATAGAACGTTGCCAATATCTCCTGCACCCCCTCGTTTCCCATTTCAAGGTAAATATTCATCAATGTTGTGTAATAAAAAAATTACATTCTACATATAATGTATTACAGGTACCCCAGGAATTTCGCCAAATATAAACTTGCAAGACGACATAAATAACTGTACGCTGCAGTACTTTAATCTATTTTTCGATGATCCATTAGTGAACGAAATTTCTCTTCAAACTAATACACAATACGCTAACCAGGTTAGGATTGAGGGTAACGCCAAGTGCCAATGGCGAGATGTAACTACAAATGATATTCGTCTTTTTGGCGATCAATATAATATAAAGCGTGGTAAAGAAACCAGATCTCCAAGAGATAATTGGGGTAGAAATCCCATCACTCCATTCTTTAGGAAAGTGATGACATACAAAAGGTTTGTAGAGATAAAGCAGTACCTTCACTTTTCAAGTAATGCAGATTATGATCCTGAAAATCATCCTAGCCCTAAGCTAAATAAAATATGAATTTGTATACTGCAGAGAGAGACATTACAATCGATGAGAGTCTTCTTCTGTATAAAGGCAGATTAGGCTGGGTACAGTACATACCCATGAAGAGAGCACGATTTGGCATAAAGTCTTATATGCTATGTGAATCTAAAAGTGGATATGTGTGGGGATTTATCATTTATACCGGGAAAGGTACCCATTTTGATAATGATTATAAAAATTTGCCAATCGCTTCTCAAGTAGTACTGACATTGGTAAAACCACGACAACTTTTACACGTCACAACAATTATCACAAGACAATAGCTAGCTGTATTGAAGAATTCGTGCTAGAACGGAATCTCAGCTGGAAAAAGAACAACGTCGTTGATGTATTTTTTTGTGTAAATGATAAAAATTTTCGTGTGGGTGGTACTTATTTTCTTAACACCTTAAATATATCCCAAACCTTTGTACTTAACGCATTACCGAAACGACAAGTTGGTGGCATCGTAATACCTGATCAAAGGGGTAAACATGAACCCTCAAACAAAATATTTCCTTACATGTAAGAAACACTATTAGAGAACAATATCACGCTATTCTAGAAATAAATCTCAGAGAAAAAACTTGGGCAGCTATCTCAACATTTCAATGATGTATCGCTGGTTTTATGAAGAATGTGTAAGAAACCAAATTCCTAAAAAAGATACTCCCAAGCAATGGCTGTATACTGAAATGTTCAATTCGGAATTTAATTTATCCTTCAAAGAACCAGGGAATGATAAATGTGATGGATATGTTGAATCTGCGTCCCTGGAAGAACGTCGTGTATTACAAACTAACTAGGACGCACATCTTGATGCAGATAATCAAAAAAAATTGTTATCTTTTGCTGAAGCCTTCCATAAAATGCATAGAACATAAATACCTCTTAAGAGGACATACCCACATGAAAGCGGATACAAAAAAAAACCATCCCCCAATTTTCTCTAATAACTGGGTTTGACAACAGCTTTTGGAATGGAAACCATGGACTTTAAGAATTTTAATCTGTTATCTGAAGAATCCAGATCTTACTTTTACAATCATAAAAAAAACTATAATCAAAACTTTTTCATATTTTCAAATTTTGAAGAGAAACACCTGGAGTATTATATTTTAAAACAGATTTTAATCAAGAAAATTTTAAACAAGTTGATTTCAATAGAGCCACTAAAAGACTACCACGCAAAGAAAAAAGTACTGTTAATTCTAAGGAAGTTATTGTTGCTGAAACCAATAAGAGAGACACTAAAACCTATTTCAACTAAAAAGTATAATGATTAGCAAAAGTTACTAACATGGGTACCTAAAAGATTCCATGAATACTTTAAAAATCTTCCACATGGTAACCTCATTAAGTAATATTTCATATTTTTAGTGTTTTTTTGCCTTTTGTTACCCTTTATTAATTAGTTATAAATGATATGAATTAGTTTTGGTTCTACAAAATTGCAATTCTACAAATTTCCATTATTCTACCATGGGTTTTTAACAATAATTAAGTATCAAGGTGCCACATATCTATAAATTAGTAGGAGCTAAACAATATTAAGTCACAAGATGGAACCAAAGAGTATAAACTATTTTAAAATTATTTAAAAAAATTAATGTAGGAGGTTTGTAATTATAAGCTTTAGTTATATTCCAAAATTATAACTGGGAAAAAAAATAAACAAGCTCTCCTATTACAAGGGTAATTGGTTTGAAAAACATCATTGTTCAAAACCTTCAAATTGCTAAAATTAAAAAAAAGTCACTTAATACTGTTTAGCTCTGATATATTGAATCTCCTCTTCCAAATATCCTCTCAACAACATTTCTTGTTGTTATATGAGATTCTTAATATGTTTTCAGCTTCATTCTGTGGATTGTTTATAGGTGTCATTAAATATTGGCATTGTGGATATACAACATCTAGCTTTTATTCTTGAATTATCAAAAATATTTGCATCATGTGATGATCCAGGCGATTTCTAAAAATTTCAACATTTTTTCCACCTACAACAATTTGAATAAACATTACTGAATATTATTTTATTATTAACTCACCTAGAGATTGAAGCTGAATATATGTACCATTTATAGCACCTAAGACTTTTGGAAAATGGGTAATTTGGAAGAACTTCAACCTTGATTCCAATTTTTCTTGCTCATTTCTTGGCATATATATGTATTGGTCTCTGAACTGACATATAACTTCAGTTGTAATTCAGCTTTATAATTAATCAAGCTGTAGTCTTTATGTACATTTACAAAATCGCCCACAGCAATATAAAAACTTCCAATAGCATAAAACCTTAGAGTTAATAAAAATTGTTCCATTGGTGTTATTCCTAATATAAAAATATTATGCTTGTTTAAACAGTAGATTTGCTAATATTTAATTAATTGGTTTTGATTTCAATTTCTGAAGGACCTTGAAGATGTTTTAAATAAATATATACTTACCTTGTTCTTCTATGTTCTAATTGGTGTTGAATATTGGGTAGAAAATCCAATACAGTTTCTTTATTCAAGCAAAAACGATTAAAAAATTCTACTTTGTCCATAGCAGTGAAATGATTAGAATGTTAAAATCTATTTCGAGTGTTTCTATAAGAGAAGATTTCTTCTTCTATAAGAATATCGTCAATAATGTCTTTTTGAATTTTATTTAAAAAAAACCTAACCTTAGTAAATTAACCCTCTGGTAGGTATCATTAACAGACAGATTAACTTTACCAAGAGGTGAATATACAATTATTCTTACAAGTAAGTCTTATTCTGTCAGCTAACATTAAAAGACACTTTACTTGAAGATGAATATACCAGGCCTTAAACATCAAAATTTGTATAGGCAATATAACCTGATAATGAACCTCGTTTTTTTATTGACCACAAATAAAAAACATAATTTGCAATAAAAATTCTGAATTAATTAACCTTTGATTAAGATAAACGGTAATAAAAAAAAGCATGCCATGAATGAAATTGTTTAAAAACAAAAAAATAAAACAAAGAATACTTGATTTCTACAATCAAGTTATCCATGTTTTATTAAATTTCTTTAAAATTTGATTTCGAAACAAAAACGAAACGATAGATATAACAACATGAAAAAAAAAAAAGAAAAACGTGTTTACCTGACATAAAAGAGATTGTATACCATTATTTATAATATCTCTTACATATCGTATTCCCCATATATTAAAGTATTGTTGCACTACGAAGAACGACGATCGTTGTAAAACGCGAAAAACAATAAAATCAACGCACCTGGTTGTCGTCGGTAGACAGAAACATCCAATCAATAAATCAAATTACCATTAATAAAAAATATATATGTACAAAGGTGAATGATAAGACATGTTGAATTAAGTTACCTATTGTTAAAGTGTGCGGTTCGCAAACCGAAAAACAACGGGCATTTTAACAGAAAAATAACGCACTCACTACACGTAATGTTCGTCCGTACACTATTTCATCCAATACACAACATTTCCGTACAAGATTTACACCGGGGTTACGCAAAAAATGTTATGAAAACATAACGTAAAGTTACTGATCACGGCTACATTCCATTGCCATTTTGTCACTGGTCCAGCTTCAGTAGCGACTCACGTGCTGACATCTATTTATTTCAATCATAATCATGATGAATTGAAAAATTTATAGAAACCTTACTTATCCATTAAAAATAATTCCACAATAACATTTTTTTCATAATCTTTATTATTATTAACATTAAAATGCTTCATATTAATTATCAATATTTATAAAGAGATATATAAGAATTTTCGATTTGTATTTGATGCAACTTCAGATTCTAATAAAGCGATTTTCATTACCAACATCAACCTCGTTTTTATAATTTAATTTATTTAGTAAATAAATTACCTAATTGCAATTAAATTGAATGATTATTTTATATTAATAATTATAAATAGATGAAAGAAAAAATAACTTAAGGAACCTAAGTGCTGCCATCTATTTATTTCAAGTATAGTCGTGTTAAATTCGAATTTTTATTTTTTAATTTAATTTATTATTTATTTAGTAATAAACATGATATGCTTCATCATTGTAATTAAATTGAATATTTGTTTAATGTTAATAATTATAAATATGTAGTTGAAAAAAATAACATCTATTTATGTACATATGTCAAGTATAGTCGTGTTAAATTCGATTTTTTTTATTTTTTAATTTAATTTATTATTCATTTAGTGATAAACATGATATGATTCATCATTGTAATTAAATTGAACGTTTGTTTAATATTAATTATTATAAACAGTAAAAATAAAAAATAAGATAAGGACGGCGAGTGCTGCCATTTATTTATGTCAAGAATAGTCGTATTAAATTCGAAATTCTTATCATTTTTTAATTCAATTTATTGTTTATTTAGTAAGAAATAGCCAAAAAAAGTCTTGGATCAATAGTCAAAGAAGCATCAGGAAAGTTAGACGCAAAAGACACAAGTTTTTGAGGAATTTTTGGGTTGAACAGGGTTTCTGATCAACTTAATTCGAATTTCAACGCATTCCCTGTTATTTAAATCAGCAAATAAGAAAAGAAAACATTTTTTTCAATTTGCATTTTTCTGGAAACCAGGTTTTGCAGGATTTTTTTGCTAGATTTGGGTTGAACAGAATTTCTGATCAGTTTAATTTGGGTTTTATAGCATTCCTTATTATTTAGAACAGCAAATCAGGAAACAAAACATTTCTGTCAATTTGTAATTCTCTGGAAACAAGGTTTTGCTGATTTTTTTTTGTAATATTCGGGTTGAGAAGAATATCCGATCAATTTAATTTGGATCGCATCGCATTCATAGAAGTAGTTCTAGTGTTAGTTCTAGTTTTGCGGTAGCACTATCACCAGAACTAACACAAGACCTAGAATCATTCCCGTTTACCCATATTGAGAAACGTGCGGCTGAACCCGAATATTTCTAGTTCTAGATCTAGTGTTAGTTCTAGTTTTACACCAGCACTATCACTAGAATTAACGCAATACTTAGAACTAGAATCATTTAGATTTAGCCGTCTTGAGAGACACACAGCTAAACCCGAATGTTTCTAGGTCTAGTATTAATCCTAGTTATAATTGTTATAAAAGAAAAGTAGAACTAACACTAGACCCAGAATCCAGAATTAGAAACATTTGGGTTTAGCCGTGTGTATCTTAAGACGGACAAAAACTCAAGATTGTCATAATGACGTCACCTTTTCCAAGCAAAACTATTCCTCTGCAAAACTACCTGTACTATTAAGCTATGTTGCATTTTATGTGGGACAGTGCAAGTTTTTTGATTCAAAAAACCGCTGACAGACTTCTAGGGCAGGTAATACAACAAAAATTAAGATGAAAAGTCTTAATATACATGGGGTCCCAAATGCTTCCTTAACGAGATATTATAGCGGGTCAAAGTTTCTTTCTTCATATTTTCAACGCCACTGCTAATTTTATCAAATTTTATTAAAAATAACATAATACTTATTAATACGGACCTGATGTCATAAAATTTATAACACGCTCATCTGGTCGGGTACAAAAGTTTATCAGAATTTGCAAACGTGTGTTATTAAAGAAAAAATTGCTAAAGGTATTAAGTAAATTTGATTGCATTAATGTTGAAATTTCCATGAATTAATCTAATCCCCTAATAATATACAGGGTCTTCTAATTAATCCGAACGACATCAAAGATTAATTCATTGCAAAAGTTTTGTATTTAATATGATTATGGGAGTTGGATATTTTTTGTTGCAAAAAAATGTAATTTTAGTTATAAGATTTTCCAAACATATTTTATCCCAAAAAGAACGATTTAACGAATAATGTTTAATCATACAGTAAATAAAAATTTCCTGATTATTATTTTTAGTTTAAACGACGCCGACGGTTAAAATTGAAATTAAATGCTCTAATCCCCTAATTATGTCACAAAAGCCATAAAAACAATAATTGGCTTGGTTTAAATCGATTTATTTAATACAGTAAGATATAAATAAAAGAGCCCGTGTGGAAAATTATTATTAACAAATTTCTGTTCGATCTGAATACCGTAAAACACAAAAAATGAGAAGTCCAATTGTTGAATTTTACACTGGAAAAACTGTGTTTATCACAGGAGCAACAGGTTTTATGGGAAAAGTTCTTTTAGAAAAATTAATCAGGAGTATACCCGATATTAAGAAAATCTACATTTTATTACGACCCAAAAAAGGTTACACTCCCGAAGAAAGAATTAAGCAATTAACGAAAAGCGCTGTAAGTTTTTTTAAAAAAATATTTCATATTTTTAGCGAATAAAACATTTTTTCTCAAAAAGATTTTCACCTTTAACGATTTAAACGAAAAAGCCAACAAAAAAATTGAAGCGGTTTGCGGGGATATAACCAAAGAAGGTTTTGATATGTCCCTAAATGATAGGGAAAAATTAGTTGATGAAGTATCCGTTGTGTTTCACATCGCCGCTTCCGTTCGCATGGACCTTTCATTAAAAGAAGCTGTTATTACAAATACTAAATCAACTTACGAGTTGTTTAAATTTTGTATGAACATGAAAAATTTGCAAGTACGTTTAAAAAGTTTTTTATATTAAATAGCTAAAAAAATATCTTCCAGTCGGTTGTTCATTTATCCACCGCTTATTGCAACGTTGAAATTGAGAATATGGAGGAGAAAGTGTACCCAATTGATGTTGATCCATACAAGATTATTGATATGGTGGAGTGGATGGATGAAAAGTGCTTAAATGTTATTACTAAAAGGTTATTAGGTCCTCATCCAAATACTTATACGTTTACTAAACGACTTGCTGAAATTATAGCCGTTGATATGGGTGATAAAATACCATTAATTATAACAAGACCATCAATTGGTACGTTTCAAATCATTGCAGAAAAAAAAGTATATGTTTTTTTTTAGTTGTTCCTTCTTTGTCTGAACCAACGCCTGGTTGGGTTGATAATTTTTATGGCCCCATGGGAATGTTTGTAGCGAGTGCAAAAGGGATTTTGAAATCAGGTTTAGTGGATGGCGATAGTGTACCGGAAGTTATTCCCGTGGATTTCGCCATAAATAGCGTGATATGTTGTGGATACGAAAGAGCAAAGAACAAGTAAATATTTCCTTAATAATTAGATAAAATTTATTTCAACTCTTTTAGTTATTTATCAACGCCTACAATAAACATAACTAATAGATTTCCATACACTTGGCGTTATATAACTGATGTATTTGTTGCAACAGCGCGTAAAGAACCATTCAAACATGCTCTTTGGTATCCTGAAATATACATTACAAAATCTTATTGTATATTTATGACTGTATCCTTTATCTTTCAATTAATTCCAGCATTGTTGGTCGATTTCATATTAATCATCTTCCTTCAAAAACCTTTGTATGTCTTAAATAAGATGTGATTGTTCTTAAATGATTAACAACGTTTTCAAATTTTAGTTTGGTTACCATTCAAAAACGCCTCATGTTATCAATGCAAACTGTGCGGCACTTTACAGTCAGAAAATGGACATTTGATAACAGCAAATGTATTAAACTAGAAGAAAAACTAGACAAAGCTGATAAGGAAATATTTTACGGTGTAATAACCAAAGATGTAGATTTAAAGGAATACGCTGTTAACAGTTACAATGCGGTTAAGAAACATTTGTTAAACGACGATTCGAAGAACATTGAGCTATACCGCTTACGGAACAAAATGTAATTTTTTTAACAAATTTTTTGTGATGATTTATTTATTAGTGAACTTGTTTTTTCCAGATTTTACTTTCTGAATCTCTTCATTAAATTCTATTTTTTGTATGTGGTGTTAAATTGGTGCTATGTATGTCTTAGCTATTGGTTCTAAATAATATTTAAATTGTTTGTAAATTTAAAAAAATTAGAATTTTTACTGTTTTTTTTTATAAATCCAACAAGTTGACTCGAAAACATACTGTGAAAACGAAATGGCGAAACGACCTAATCTATTCATTATATCTTGAAGATATTAACCATTAGATAGTGTTTGGTCCGCAGCTAACTCGCAGTTTATGTTTGTTGTTCTAGATTCTAACGTCTCGGCCGTAAATGACCTTGGCTGCTGTATATTACACTTCTCAAAGGTATACCCAAGGTCCGTTGAGTAAACATACTGTATAATTATCCAACTCCTTATAAACGCTGTTTTCGTACTAATGCAACTCTCTAAACAAAAACTTCGTACTAAAAATTAAACGTATGTGGCGCCATCTGTTGGGGATATTTTGGAATTCAGCTAAGAACCGAACCACTAGAATACAGGTTGGATTGAGTTTATATATAAAAGCTCCATCCACAGAATAACTGTTTGGAAAGTGTTTGGAGCCACTATGTGGGTCCAATTAACGTTCCGACTGGTTGGGAATTCCTCAGATGCAATCATCTAAGGCAATTACACCTGTCAAATAATGCCGCAACATTTGAATATCACTTGCATCTGACGATCTTCCTACCAGTTATGTTAGCTGAAACAGGGCTATAATGTCAATTATAATCTAATTATTTAATCATACCATTATTACTTTATCATCCTCTTACCGAAAAATCACTTTAAAATGACGTTTTCATCTGTCATTCTGAACAAACTTCAACTTTATAATTTTAAAAGTTGAAGTTAGCGGCAAATTTAAAAATATAACACGAATTGGAATCAATACTTTTTAAATTAAAAGAATGATACTGGTAATAATTGTTATTGCTGTCTCTCATCATTCCCACTATTAATAATAAAATTGTTAGTTTAATTAAATTATTTCAGTATAGACGCTAATGCCATCTTACGGTGCGATTTCGACATACAATCAATTCCAAGTTTTTCTATCAAAGATCCTTGGGGCGCGCTGTTGTTATAAAAGCAAAAATATAAAGATATTTAAAAAAAATGCGAGATAATCGTAAAGAATTCTAATTGTTTTAAAATTAATAAAAATTATATTAGAATTGATAAAAAAATCGAAATAAGATTTTATTATTTTAAGGTTATCCAACTTGACTCGGTTACCATGGTGATTAAGATCCAAATATCGCAGTTGCTTGTCAAAATTGACGTTGAATTTTTAAGTTTCTTTAATGGAAAACATAATTAATTGGATTTAAAGGTTGTATTGAATTCAAAATGGGTAAATGGATGAAATTATAAGTAAGGTAAGTGGATTAAATCAAAAAAAAATTTTTAGATCAATTAAAATGTACAAGAATTTAGGGTTAAATAACAATTAAAACTAGAACTAACACTAGACCTAGAACTATAAAGTTTTAGGTTTAGCAGGGCGTCTTAGAGGAATGTTTATAGATAATTTGTAGAGAATTAAATTCCCTTTCTGACAGGCTAAAAAAATATGAAATTTTCGACTTTCTCGCCATTGAATATGGAGAAACAGTAATTCAATTTTTGACCATTCTGTATAAGATAGTCCCATACAACAAATGACAATCTATTTGACAGCATCTGAAGAGTAATCCAAAATAAATCGAAAACGAAAAACGCTAGGTACCAATAACTTTTATCAAAATCAACCTATTTTTCTACTTACAATTAAACGGTGTAATAAAAACTATAGTATTCCATTTAAAATAACGAAGTTATGGTCTACTTCCGGTAGACCGGAAGATCAAAAGATCCGAATGAACAACCCATGCTACCAAAATTTCAAACCTCTACGAATAGTGGAATCTGAAAAAGTTCTAACGAACCAGTTACGTGACATTTTAAACTTGAAGTTAGTTATCATATAATAGACAAATGGACAACTTCATGGTGTTCTTTCATCATGCATTCTTTATTAAAAAACCTTTAAAATGAGTTCAAACATGATGCATTTATCTCGGAAAACAACAAAGTTGTAATAAAAATTATTAAAGTTGGCAACATTGAAATCAGCAACATACTTTTTAAATATTAATACCAACCTTAATTTTTCATTTTTTCATTGCATTTTTGTTTTTGTGACAAATTTTAAGACATTTTCTTATTTTAAAGGATTTTTAATGAAGATTACAAATATGTCAAAATTGAGGTTGACATTTTAAATCTGAAGTTAGTTATCATATAATAGACAAATGGACAACTTCATAGTGTTCTTTCATGATGTTATTCTTTATTAAAAAAACCTTTAAAATGAGTGCAAACAAGACGCACTTATCACAAAAAATAAAAGAAGTTTCAATAAAAAAACGTTAAACCCGAAGTTAGCAACAATGAAAATAGCAATTTAATTATTAAATATTAATACCAACCTTAGTTTTTAATTTTTTTTATTGTATTTTTGTTTTTGTGATAAATTTTAAGACATTTTATAAAAATTAAGAATTTGTCAAAATGACATTGACATTTCAAACCGGAAGTTGCTTATATCGAAATTAAACGTATCATGTTTGGGCTCATTTTAAAGGATTTTTCACGACAATTACAAATATGTCAAAATTGACTTTGACATTTCTAACCGGAAGTTGACCGTAACTTCATTAATATTGAAGATAAATATGTCGTGTTTGTACTTATTTTAAAGGATTTTTAATGAAGATTACAAATATGTCAAAATTGAGGTTGACATTTTAAACCTGAAGTTAGTTATCATATAATAGACAAATGGACAACTTCATGAATCACAAAATGTTATTAAAATTAGACGATTTTTCTAAATTGAATCAACTACAACGTGTGTACCTAAACTGGTGGTGAAAGACGTTATGAATAAAAAACATTGCGAATGCATCAATAAATCATAATCCATAATTATTTCATATTTATCTATTACCAGCTTGTAATGATATAGCATAAATCACCAAAATGTCAAAATTGGACGATGAAAGATAAAGTTTCAATTTAAAAAAATCAAAAAAATTTATTTGATCAATTTTTACACAATTATAAAACATAAAGACTTAAAATAAATAAAAATTAAATAAATTCATCTAAAATTTTTTTAAATAAATCAATGGAATGTTAAAATATCACAGTAAACATTAAATATTTTCAGTCATTTCTTTCTTCTTCATTGTTCAATAATTCCCTTTACATCCTCTACTTTTCTGATGACTATCCAATTTATCTTTCCTATTAAATTCACTTCCGCATCTATCGCATTTAAACGGCCTCTCATTGCTGTGCGTCGTTTTCTCATGTCTACTTAAATTCGAGGTGTTGTTAAATCTTTTTTGGCAAATTTTACAAGAATACGGTTCTTCCCCCGTGTGAATTCGCTCGTGTTTATTTAAATCGCCGCGATGCGTAAAACTTTTATTGCAAAACGAACAAACCATCGATGAAGATGAAGTTGACGATTTTGAAAACATTGATGATGATGATGATGAGGATGACGTGTGGGGTTGTTGGTAATTATAATATGAGTTTCCACTTGCTACGTTTGCTAATAAATGTAATCCGCTATTGCAAGATTGACATTTACAACCGAATTGGTGAGGTTTTTGAGGTTCTCGAGACATTTAACTGAAATGAAAATTAATTTTGTTAATAATAAAATTAAAATGAATGGAAAAAAACATCTCCCAGACGGGGAATCGAACCCCGGTCTCCCGCGTGACAGGCGGGGATACTGACCACTATACTATCTGGGACTTGAAAATTAGCACTATTTTTTATAAATTCGTAGCAACCAGTATCATCAACAAATTTGATTTAATTTTAAATCTTAATTAACTATCCGGCTTATCCGATCATTTTTTAAAACCCGGCCGGATACCAGATAGTTAATAAATATTCGGCTTTGGCCGGATATTAAAAACCTATTACTTAGTACTTCACCGTTCAAAGGAATTAGTATCTCTTTTAGGTTTTGGACACTGCAGATAATAATCAAGATCAACCCCAATAGGACTTTTTTCATTGAATACCACTTTATTTATATCAGGTTTGTCATTAACAACCGCATTGTAATAAATTAATATTCCAATACGATATACAGGTGTACCGAAATGACGTGTACAATGCAAGACCACAAGTATTTTTTTTATACCTTGACTAAAAATATGATGATTTAATTCAACTTATCTATATACAAAATTACTTAGTTTAACCGCTAGAGGGCGTTAAACATTCATGATGAATCAAAGATAAAACACAAAACAAAAAATACGAATACCGCTGTCAAGTTTAAGTGACAAACTGTTTTTGTTTTTAAAATTAATTATACCTAGCCAACTATTAAAAAAACGTTATTAGTGTTACCTTATATCACTCATTCGCGCTTGTGGAGATTTAGCAAATATTTTTTTGTGGCTAAACCGTTCACCCAACTGAAATTTTGTAAGAGAGAAAATAGTTTCTAAATTAAAGTAACTACTCAGAAAAAAAGAATATTGCTCTTAATTGAATTAATTGCACGCTCCACATCCATATCCTCCACCACGCGAAAGCCAAAAGACAAGTTATTCCGTTTGTTGGAATTATAAAAGTTGACCAGTTCTAAGTCAGGAACACCTCCCCCCGATACCGCTGCAATAAAGTAATTATTGATATCATTGGGTGACCCAAGGTGAGGTAGAACTGACATGTTTTTTCTTTTAAATAT